TTTTTTGGGGGGGGATAAAGACGTTTTTTTAGAGAAACTGTACCAGCCTCCTTCCCTTTGCCATTTTTGTACAAAAGGGATTCTGGCACTCTTCATTTTCTGCTGTGGAAGTGAACCTTCCGTATGACACTCCAATTGTGAAAAAAGAAAAAACAGAACAATTGTATTCGTATTGGTGCCATTTATAAATGCATTTCTCATTTGAAATTGAATTAGAATGATTTTTTTCAGCTGTCGCACCATTGAGCTGAGCGGCCTCAACTAAACGGTGCAAGTGGGACAAGGTCCCAGACCCCCGGGGCTCGGACCCACTACGATAGACAAGTTTATTACGACGTGTGACACCATTTTTGGGTTTTCTCGCATTCAAAAAATGCATTTCTTCAATTACAAAAAAGGGAAAGAAATGGAGGCCTTTTTTTTTTTTTTTTTTTTTTTTTTGTGAGCGCCAGGCTGGTTCTGTAGCCTGAATTCACGGGATGCTACTGGCAGGCCGTTATTGACCGATGTCAGAGGGGCACACGCTTTTCTTTCTTAGCACACATTACACCTCGCCAAATGAAGGGCCTCCTTCGATTCCAGCAGGCGATCCTGGTCCAGGATTGATTGGTCAGCAAGCCGTGGAGTTGGGTTTCAAGTGTGCAGCCTGTTCAAGCGTTTCCTCAAGTGTACATGGTACCATAAATCGAGTTAAGTCACTGTTAGTGTAAATTGATCCCAATTTCTCGTTTAGTGTGCACTTGAAACTTAGTGTATTTTCAAGTGGGGTGTCGAACGAGGCTAGAAGTCTTGAACGCCATTGATCACAATTTCTCGGTTAGTGCGCACTTGTATTTTCAAGTGGGGTGTCAGCCGAGGCTCCAAGTCTTGAACGCCCCTCCTCCTGCCCCCCCCCCCCCCCCCCCCCCCCCCCCCCCCCCCCAACCCCCCTTTTGGAGTCTGAGAAACGAGACTCTCAAGACGTGCCTTTCGATTTACAAAATCCAGAAGTGGAACATTTTCTCAGGCGGGGATTGGTGGAAACCTCCCGGCTTGTCACTATTTCAGAGTCAGTAGGGGAACGTTCTCTAAGTTGAAGAAGGCTGTTTATGAAAACAGTCTACCCGGAGCACAAAGTGGAATTACCGGAAGCTTCCTCTGCAGAAGGTTTTATAAGGGACGCTGGGCCCGTTTCCCAGCTGTGTCGCTCCCCACAAATAGATGGGAGCCGTGTTTAAAAAAAAAAAAAAAAAAAAAAAAAAAAAAAAAAAACACAGCTGGCCCATGGTCCCATTAGGAAAGAGGATAGGATGCTCTTACCAACTCCTGCTAGCAGGTGCTCTCGCGCCAATGATGTTTCTTCAAAAAAAAAAAAAAAAAAAAAAAACGAGGATTGAAGACCTGAATCTGGACGTGTTTGTGGAAAGGTGCAGACTGTCCAGATTGAACTGCTTTTCTGCCTGTCCTCTTAAAACACGTCCAGATTCAGAATCTTTACCCAATCCCCTTTGCTAATCGGGCCTCGCTCCTGGAGATATCAGAAGTGAGAATGCTGACATGAGGAACAAAAAATCAGCTGAAAAGCATCATCCCTAACAGACTACATCATCCCTAACAGACTAGGTGCATGCATCCCTACCCTCTTTCCCCGAATACAACGTACGGTCATTATAGCTGTATTTGGAGCATCTTTCAGTCTAAATACAGTCCATAATGACGGTACGTTGTATTGGGGGAAGAAGGTAGATAAGGGAATGCCATCCACGGACATCAAATGTCACTACATGCCACACGTGATGGAAGTCCTCAGCAGCCGGTGAAGGGCTTCGCTAGTGGGTCCGAGCCCCTGGGGCCGGGCCGGCGAGTAGAAGGACGATATCCCAAGCCCAAGGCCGTTGCCCTTCTCCAAAAAAAGAAAAAAGAAGAAGAGAAAAGAAAGAAAAAAGAGAGACAGAAAATATCTTCTAAAAATATATACAGTTTGTCACAGCCCCTCGTTTGTTGTCCTCTTCTCTCTCTCTGCCTACGGTTTACCGGGCAGTTCTGTTTGTGACGATATATATTATTATTACCATTTTTTTTTTTGCACATTCGTTTGTGACGGGTTAGTCAATGAATACAATTGGGTTGGATAGAATACCATATCATAGACGGACCTAGGCTACCAGAGTGGCCCGGGGTCACTTGCCCGGCCGGGCCAAACAACATTAAAAAAATAGAATTAAAAAAAAAGGTTTTTAATTTTATTTTTTATTTTAAATTTGGTAAAGAATTTCGATGTGACCTTGAGGCAAAAGTTGTTCAGCTTATTTTTCTGCATAACATGTTTTTTTTTCGGATTTTTTTATGTTCTTTTTCTTTTTTTTTCTTTTTTTGCTGGGACCTTCTCTGGTCCTTGCACGGGCTGGCCAGCCGGGACCCGGGCGCCCCGGCTGGTACCCTAGAGACGAACGCAATCCTCTCCCCATCTCGATCCAACCCTGGACCCACCCCAATCAAACCCAAACCAGCCCACTTCGATCCACGCCTGGTCCAGCAGCCCCAATTAAAGACGGGATCCAAAAATTGAGGTAGGTCAACGCTGCTAGTGGGATTTCGCCCCTGGTCCAGCAGCCCCAATTAAAGATGGGATCCAACCCTGGACCCAAAAAAAAAAGGAGATCTTTGATCCCCTCCTCCTCTCCTTTTCTTTTTTTGGGGGGGGGATTAATGCTCCATCTATTGGTGGGGAGCCGCACCTGCTGGAAACCGGGTCCAGCGTCCAACACTGGGCATGCCCCTGCAAAGATGGGATCCAACCCTGGACCCAAAAATTGGAAAAAAGATGTGACACCGGGGCCAAGCAAGTCCCACTTACCTGCATTCTCGATTTCTGACCCTACCGTCTTCACCCGAATATAACGCCCGGTAATTATCGCTGCATCTGGACCGGAAGTTGTGCCAAATACAGCTCTAATGACGGGGCGTTCTATTCGGGTGAAGACGGGTGGCGGATGACCTTTTCCTTTTTAAATGAATACCCGAATGTTCTTTTTCTTTTCTTTTCTTTTTTTTATAATAAAGAATCCAAGCTAGGGGGGGCCAAGTCCCACTTACGACATTCTTGATTTCGGACCGTACATAGATTACGGAGATGAATGATTTCCAAAAATAAAGAATCCAAGCTAGTGAGACTTGGCCCCCGATCCATGGGCGCTCAACTTCTTCCACAGCGGATGATCTGTTCCTTTTTTGTAATGAATAACCGAATGTTCTTTTTCTTTTGTAATAAATAAATGAATGTTGGTTTTCTTTGGAATAAATAAATGAAATTTTCTTTTGTAACAAATAAATGAATTTTTCTTTTGTAATAAATAAATGAATTTTATTTTGTAATAAATAAATGAATTTTTTTTGGTAATAAATAAATAAATGAAATTTTCTTTCGTAATAAAAATAAATGAATGTTGGTTTTCTTTTGTAATAAATAAATGAATGCTGGTTTCTTTTGTAATAAATAAATGAATGTTGTAATGGTTAAATACTGTTGAAAAAAAGGGGGGGGGGGGGGGGGGGGGGGGGGGGGGGGGGGGGGGGGGGGGGGGGGGGGGGGGGGGGGGGAGGAATTAATGTTCATTTAGTCTCCTCCATGGACGAAGTAAGCCATGTTCTTGAGGGGGGAAGGGGGGGCGGCATGTGGGGGCATTTTTTTCTGCATTTTTCCCAGAAAAAAACAAATGCATCCTCTTTTTCGTTTTCTTCTCTTTTTTCCTTTTCCTGTTCAAAACAAAATCAAATAACCCAAGATTTTCCTTTTTTTTCCCTTTTTTTTCCCCTTTTGTTTCCCCCTAACGATCTAATCAATGTGCAAGCCATCGACCCAGGTCTGGCTGGTAAGAGCACCTCACGGGGCGAGGTTCCACTAGCAAATGCTATTGGGTTACGCGCCCTGAATCTGGATGTGTTTCGTGCAGAAATGCAGAAATGCAGAAAAGCAGATCCAGAGCGTTTTTTTCTGTACCTCTCCACAAAGTGGTCCAGATTCAGGCGTTAAATCCAACCCTCTTTGCTAGTTGGACCTCGCCCCCGGATTGAGCTCTTCCTCTTATTTGATGGCTGGAATTTAAAAAAAAATCCAATTCCACCGAAGCTTATCCTTAATCAACGAGTGCAATCTTTTTCCTTTTCTTTTTCTTTTATCTTTCTTTTTTTTTCCTTCTTTCTTTTCTTCTTTTTTTCCTTTTTTACCACTCAGGCGAAGCTAACCTGACCTGCATTTCGCGGCCGATACAGTTTCCCCTACAAAGTGGAATCAACACACCAAAACACAATTGACCTCGGTTGAGGTCCCAGTAGCAGCAAGGAGGAGGATTAGCGTTAAACCCTGAATCTGGACGTGTTTGTGGAAAGCTGCGCAAAGTCGCCATCGAATCTGCTTTTTTCTGCATCTCTACCTAAAACAAGTCCACATTCAGGCACGTGTTCCAATCCTCTTCTTTGTTAGTGGGACCACACGCCTGATCTCTTCCAATCCCACGCCAGGCAAATGAATAAATAAATAATCCATAATTACTAATTAATAATTACACAACAAATAACGAAATAAAAATCCGACGCAATTCCATTCGTTCCAATCCGATCATGTCCACAGCATCCATCGCTGACAGCACACCGAGTTTTCGAGGCCTTTTTTTTTTTTTTTTTTTTT